GGAAACACCTGAAGAAACTGTACCCATTGAAACAATAGAGCTACCAGAGGAAACCACTGTTGAAGAAACAGAGACTCCTGACGGCAAGCCAGTCAGCAAGATAGTGACCAAACGTGTCATCAAAAAGAAAAAGGGGCCCAAAATAGAAACCACCGAAATAATCACAGAAAAAGAGGGCGACAAACAACCTGTCCTGTCTGTACACACCACAGAAGAGTTCACCGATGAGGTTTCATCACCATTGGAGACAATATACGATTTCGATTCAGCAGATGTAATCGAAGAGCCAGAACAAATACAATTTGATCAGGTGCGTACGGAAACAGGCGACGTAAAAACAGTCAAAACCACGAAACGCATTATAAGGAAAAAGAAGGGCCCTAAAGAGGAAACAACGGAAATTCTTACTACCCAAGTAGGTGAAGATGTTCCTATTACAACTGTCAGTATTGTGGAGGATAAACCAAACGAAGAAGAAACTATGCCTGTTGAGATATTCGAAATGCCGGAAGAAACAAATGTTGAAGAGCAGCTCACACCTGAAGGTAAGGTCACTAAAAAGAAGGTTACAAAACGTCTTATCAAAAAGAAAGTAGGACCCAAAGTTGAAACTACCGAAATCACTACTGAACAAACAGACGACCTAACACCAATCGTTTCAGTACACACGACTGAACAAACCACAGACGAAACCACTGAACCGTTTGAGATTTTACACAAATCAGACATAGCAACACTTATAGTAGAAGAACCAGACACTGTACAACTCACACAAGTTAAAACAGATACCGGTGATGTTAAATCTGTAAAGGTCACCAAACGCGTCATCAAAAAGAAGAAAGGACCAAAACAAGAAATCACGGAAATCATCACCACCAAAGAAGATGACAAAGCTCCTGTAACTATTGTGTCCGTCAAAGAAGAGGAAACACCTGAAGAAACTGTACCCATTGAAACAATAGAGCTACCAGAGGAAACCACTGTTGAAGAAACAGAGACTCCTGACGGCAAGCCAGTCAGCAAGATAGTGACCAAACGTGTCATCAAAAAGAAAAAGGGGCCCAAAATAGAAACCACCGAAATAATCACAGAAAAAGAGGGCGACAAACAACCTGTCCTGTCTGTACACACCACAGAAGAGTTCACCGATGAGGTTTCATCACCATTGGAGACAATATACGATTTCGATTCAGCAGATGTAATCGAAGAGCCAGAACAAATACAATTTGGTCAGGTGCGTACGGAAACAGGCGACGTAAAAATAGTCAAAACCACTAAACGCATTTTAAGGAAAAAGAAGGGCCCTAAAGACGAAACAACGGAAATTCTTACTACCCAAGTTGGTGAAGATGTTCCTATTACAACTGTCAGTATTGTGGAGGATAAACCAAACGAAGAAGAAACTATGCCTGTTGAGATATTCGAAATGCCGGAAGAAACAAATGTTGAAGAGCAGCTCACACCTGAAGGTAAGGTCACTAAAAAGAAGGTTACAAAACGTCTTATCAAAAAGAAAGTAGGACCCAAAGTTGAAACTACCGAAATCACTACTGAACAAACAGACGACTTAACACCAATCATTTCAGTACACACGACTGAACAAACCACAGACGAAACCACTGAACCGTTTGACATTTCACACAAATCAGACATAGCAACACTTATAGTAGAAGAACCAGACACTGTACAACTCACACAAATTAAAACAGATACCGGTGATGTTAAATCGGTAAAGGTCACCAAACGCATTATCAAAAAGAAGAAAGGACCAAAACAAGAAATCACGGAAATCATCACAACCAAAGAAGATGACAAAACTCCTGTAACTATTGTGTCCGTCAAAGAAGAGGAAACACCTGAAGAAACTGTACCCATTGAAACAATAGAGCTACCAGAGGAAACCACTGTTGAAGAAACAGAGACTCCTGATGGCAAGCCAGTCAGCAAGATAGTGACCAAACGTGTCATCAAAAAGAAAAAGGGGCCCAAAATAGAAACCACTGAAATAATCACAGAAAAAGAGGGCGACAAACAACCTGTCCTCTGTGTACACACCACAGAAGAGTTCACCGATGAGGTTTCATCACCATTGGAGACAATATACGATTTCGATTCAGCAGATGTAATCGAAGAGCCAGAACAAATACAATTTGGTCAGGTGCGTACGGAAACTGGCGACGTAAAAACAGTCAAAACCACGAAACGCATTATAAGGAAAAAGAGGGGCCCTAAAGAGGAAACAACGGAAATTCTTACTACCCAAGTAGGTGAAGATGTTCCTATTACAACTGTCAGTATTGTGGAGGATAAACCAAACGAAGAAGAAACTATGCCTGTTGAGATATTCGAAATGCCGGAAGAAACAAATGTTGAAGAGCAGCTCACACCTGAAGGTAAGGTCACTAAAAAGAAGGTTACAAAACGTCTTATCAAAAAGAAAGTAGGACCCAAAGTTGAAACTACCGAAATCACTACTGAACAAACTGACGACTTAACACCAATCATTTCAGTACACACGACTGAACAAACCACAGACGAAACCACTGAACCGTTTGAGATTTTACACATGTCAGACATAGCAACACTTATAGTAGAAGAACCAGACACTGTAAAACTCACACAAGTTAAAACATATACCGGTGATGTTAAATCTGTAAAGGTCACCAAACGCGTCATCAAAAAGAAGAAAGGACCGAAACAGGAAATCACGGAAATCATCACCACCAAAGAAGATGACAAAGCTCCCATAACCATTGTCTCCGTCAAAGAAGAGGAAACACCAGAAGATACTTTACCCATTCAAACGGTAGAGCTACCAGAGGAAACCACAGTTGAGGAAACAGAGACTCCTGACGGCAAGGCAATCAGCAAAATAGTGAATAAACGTGTCATCAAAAAGAAAACGGGACCCGAAATAGAAAACACTGAAATAATCACAGAAAAAGAGGGCGGCAAACAACCTGTCCTATCTGTACACACCACAGAAGAGTTCAACGATGAGGTCACATCACCATTGGAGACAATATACGATGTCGGCTCAGCAAATGTAATCGAAGAGCCAGAACAAATACAATTTAGTCAGGTGCGTACTGAAACAGGTGACGTAAAATCAGTCGAAACCACGAAACACATTATTAAGAAAAAGAAGGGCCCAAAAGAGCAAATTACGGAACTTCTTACTACCCAAGTAGGTGAAGATATTCCTATTACAACTGTCAGTATTGTGGAGGATAAACCAAACGAAGAAGAAACTACGCCCGTTGAGCTTATAGAAATGCCGGAGGAAACAAATATTGTAGAGCAACTCACACCTGATGGTAAGGTTACGAAAAAGAAGGGTACAAAACGTCTTATCAAGAAGAAAGTAGAACCCCAAGTTGAAACTACCGAAATCACTACTTATCAAACAGACGAACTAACACCAATCACTTCAGTACACACAACTGAACAAATCACAGACGAAACCACTGAACCGTTTGAGTCTTTACACAAATCAGACATAGCAACACTTGTTATAGACAAACCAGACATTGTACAACACACACAAATTAAAACTCATACCGTTGAAGTAAAATCTGTAAAGGTCAACAAAGGCACTATCAAAAAGATGAAAGGTCCGAAACAGGAAAACACAGAAATTATCACCACCATAGAAGATGATAAAGCTCCCATAACCATTGTCTCCGTCAAAGAAGAGGAAACACCTGAAGATACTTTACCTATTCAAACGCTACCAGAGGAAACCACCGTTGAAGAAACAGAGACTCCTGACGGCAAGGCAATCAGCAAAATAGTGAATAAACGTGTCATCAAAAAGAAAACGGGACCCAAAATAGATAACACTGAAATAATCACAGAAAAAGAGGGCGGCAAACAACCTGTCTTGTCTGTACACACCACAGAAGAGTTCAACGATGAGGTCACATCACCATTGGAGACAATATACGATGTCGGTTCAGCAAATGTAATCGAAGAGCCAGAACAAATACAACTTAGTCAGGTGCGTACGGAAGCAGAAAAGAAAAAGAAGGGTCCAAAAGAGCAAATTATGGAAGTTCTTACTACCCAAATAAGGGACTATGCTCCCGTCACAACCATCACTGTAATGGAGGACAAGCCCATTAAAGAAAAAACCAAGCCTCTGGAGAGTTTAGCGAAACCGGAAGAAACGGAAGGTGAAGAGCAACTTGCACCCGAAGGTATGTTTTATAAAAACAAGGTTACAAATCATGTTATCAAAAAGAAAGTAGGACCCAAAATTGACACTACCATAGTCACTACTGAACAAACGCTTATCTTTCAGTACACTTAACTAACCAAATCACAGACCAAACCACCAAAAGCCCAACACTTAAAAACTTAACACTACACAAGTAACACGAGTAAAAATAAATGTTAGCAATATTAAATCTGTTAAGGTCAACAAAAACGCGAAAGTAGGACACAAAATGTTAACTACCGAAATCACTACACACTATCTACTATCACTATACTACACAACGAAAACACACTATCAATATCACTAGTTACACATTTTAGACAACACACTCACACCAGTCAATATTCTGTACTAAACTGATATTGCAACCGTTATCGAACTCAAAACCGCACTAGTAACAAAAGTTGACATAAATAAAGTGATATCTTTTAAAAGTTCCAAACGAGAGATAAAAAATAATAAAAGACTCAACAAGACACCACCGACATTAGTGATTACAAAGTAGATGATAAGGCTCCAACCATTACTGTCAAAGCAGGAAGCTGAAGAACCAACCTGAGCTAAAATCATTAAATGTCTTGAAGAAATATATAACGAAGAAATTGAAATACTACAAGGCAAAATACTATGATGATAATTTACCCGTCATAGCTGCACAAACAAGACCACAACTTAACGAAGACGTAACTACTCCATTATATGCAACATGTGCTTTAGATACCATTAAAGTAATAAAATAATATACAAAACCACACAAGATAGTAAAGCTATCTAATGAAATTGCCGTCACGTAGGTACAGACGCCTGAATGTAAGATCACATAAACAAAGACCATTACGAAAGTCGTAATAGGGAGGAAACAAGTAAAATAACATCAGAACAAGTAGCTGAAGAAATACCAATTATTCCAGTACATAATAGAGATCACATCACACCACTGAATATTCAACACAAATTGTACACCAAAATTTAACGAGGAGAAACCAGAAACAGTGCATGTAACCAATAAAACAACTATAGAACCAATCTTTACTCAAATACTGGATAGTGCTTCGACCACAATCTACAGTTTTATGGAATATAAACCCGATTATCTTTAAAACAAAACCATTTCGAAAATATTACACAACAAATGTGTATTGTATTACCCTTTAAAAATTTACACTATAGTAGATGTATGTACACATTATAAAACACATCACACTCAAATTATTTAGACACAATATTACACCAATATTAACAAGGTTAAATGTAAGAAATTACCAAACGAAAAACCTAACTGTTGATTCGTGCACATAATATATATATATAAAACAATTGATACATCGTCATTGTCATAAGTGTTTTCTTTACTATATTTAGTAATGTTTAGCAGATTTCTTAGAAAAGGTAAGTTACCAGGTTGTATTCCTTAAAGTAATGAAGGTATTATTTAACCCGAAGTTGAATGATTTATAGTAACAACCAAAAAATAAACATTTAATACATATACTATCTTAATTTTTTTTATCTTAACAGTGTTATCATATAGAACTGAATTTTATTATTCATATTACAATAAATTACGTTTTTACTTCTGTAAAATATAAGATGAAAAATAGGAAACAATAAACTTAGAAGATACTTCCATTTTGAATCCCACGAATAAAAAGACAAATATTATTATTGTAAAGGAAAAATGTCATAAATAAACAAAATTGTATTACTGTTACAGATATTTCATTGTTGGAAAAAATTGATGAAAATAAAAAGAAGAAACCGAAAAATGTGAAGAAAACAGCTAACTTCGACGATGAAAAACCAAAGGAAGACAAACCTGTACCTATGGAGCCAGAGGAAGAAAAACCTACAGAAGTAGAGATGAACATAACATCACCAAGAACTAAAAAACCAAAACTTGTAAAACAAAAAATTGAACAAAAGACTATAAAGATAAGTGAAGCCCAACATGCGGAGAAGATTGAAGGCCCACAATTTGCAAAAATAAAATTGAAAAAACCTACCCAAAAACCAAAACAAGAATCAACGACAGTAACTTTACCAAAATTCCAATTAAAAAGTCGTATCAGACATATTACTGACTGGCCTCCCTCAGAAATTAAACCCACTATATCATATATGGGCAGCGTGCGACAAAATGGAGAACTATCGAGAAACGTGAAAGAAGCTGCCAAACTAAAGAAAAAACAACCTAAATTGAAAAACATTCCTGATTATGAAGTCGAATTAGAGAAATTAGAAAAAATTGATTTTACCCCTGAAAATGAAAAACCGACAGAAATGATCGAAGGTAAAAGGATTCCCGATAATATAGATACTACAGTTAATGACGAGTCATTACCCGATACATCATTTTCAAATCTAGAAGAAGTTAAATCGAAAAACCTCCAAGAAAAGCAACGTACAACTTCAGAAGATACTGAAAAAATTAGTGACGTTGAGTCACACCCCGAAATGAAACAAAATATTGAAGAAATCATAGAAACATCACAAGAAGTCCCAGAAAAAGCTTTAGCTCAAATGGAAAATGCCACAGAAATAGAAACACCTAAACAGACATTAAAGAAACAAAAACCAAAAAAATCTACGAAACCGGCAATTAAAACAGAAGGTACCACACCAAACGTAAAATCAGACACAAATACACCAGATCAACTGGTTGAAATACGAGAAATAGAAGAAACAAATGACAAAAACGATAAAGCACCAGATGGAAATGAAATACCGCAGGTAAAAATAACCGAAAAACCCATTGATACTGCTGATGAAGAAAAAATTGAAAGTCCTTTAGGATATCAAGAAACACCTGAAGAAACAGAAGCCAAAGTGAATCAGATAGAAAGTGAAAAGAATAAGAAAACAAAAAAAGTAAAGAAACCAATAGATAAAAAAGAGGTTCCAGAAGAAGACAGAAAAGATACAAAACAAGTAACGTTACAAAAGCTCGAAGAGTTCGTAGAGAAATCACTAGGAAACGATAGCCAACCCTCAGAAATCAATAAAGTAGAAGAAATACCTAAAGAAGAGAATGAAACGCCAACAGAAACTGGATTGTCCAAAGATGATGACAATTTAAAACCTAAAAAAGATAAAAAGCCGAAAAAATTGAAGAAACCAATTGATAAAAAAGAGGTTACATCAGAAGACAGAAAAGATGCGGATCAAGAAACGTTACAAGAGCCAGAAGAGTTAGAAAATAAATCTCCAGAAAACGATACTCAATCATCAGAAAACAATAAAGTAGAAGAAATACCCAAAAAAGAGAATGAGACGCCTACAGGAACCATATTGTCTAAAGATGACGAAGATTTAGAACCTAAAAAAGATAAAAAATTAAAAAATATAAAGAAGTCAATCGATAAAAAAGAGGTTCCAGAAGAAGACAGAAAAGTCACAGAACAGGAATTATTAGATAAACCTAAAGGATTAGAAAAGAAACCTAAATTGAAACTTACCCCAATTAAGATAGAAAGGAAAACTATTGAAATAAGTAAAGCGCAGCATGCAGAAAACGTTGAAGGACCTCAATTCACAAAACTTAAATTAAAGAAAACAGTAGCGAAACCTAAGCAAGAACTTTCTTCGACTACTCTTCCAAAATTCCAACTGAAAAGTAGGATTACATATATAAAAGATTGGCCACCACAAATCATTCTACCTAGTATTAGCTTTTTAGGTAGTATAAGACAAAACGGCATCCTATCTAGGAATATCAAAGAAGCAGCCAAGATCAAAAAGAAGATATATAAACAACCACAGTTACCTGAAATTGAAAAAACAGAGCTTGAAAAACCAATGTTCGGATATGAGGATATCGTGGAAGCAACACAAAACAAAGATATTGTACGATCAGAAGAATTATTGGGAAGTGACAAAGAAGATGAACCTGAGCAATTCATTATAAAGCCACGTCGACCAAGTGTTAAAAAGACTGAAGAAATTGTAGATGAAGTCACAATAAAGAAAAAATTAAAACCTCTTCGTAAATCATCTATTACACTTCCAGAGATCACGGAACCTGAAAATGTTACTTTCAGGCCAAAATCTACGAAAACGAAAGAAGACGTTGAGCAAGAATTTAACATACAGTTAGATTCATATGCTGAAGAAGAAATATCAATGTCTAGTAAAGTGAAACTTAAGCCACAAAGACAACCAACCTTCAATGAAGAAGCAGATGAAGCATCCATTAAATTTTACACAGAGGAAACTGATGGGCCTGAAGTTGTAGAAATTATTGAAAGTGATGATGAACGCGATGATAATATAACTAACTTGATGGTATCTTTGAAAAAACCGCAACCAGTCAAAGAAATTGTTGAAGAAATTAGTTCAAGTGTAACCGTTTCTAAACCAAAGAAAGAAGAAGTTAGTGAAATTATTGAGGATATCAGTTTGAAACTAGAACGCAAACCAAAATACATAATTGACGATCAGGAAGAAGTAACTTATGACGTGAAACCACAGGTAGAACAGTTTACACAAGAAGAGTTATCACTTTCAAGTAAAATTAAACTGAAACCGAAGAAAAAGATCACTTTATCTGAAGCAGCCGATGAAGCGTCTATTCAAATAACACAAGAAATTGATGATGATAGCCAAGCAGAAGAAATAATAGTTAGTGAGGCAGAATCTGATGACAATGTTGAAATGGTAATTCAACGTAAAGTTAAAAAACCAAAATATGAAGTCAGTGAGGTCGAAGAGTTAAGTATAGAATTGAAACCAAAAAGAATTAATGTGGACACTTATGATGAAGAACAACTTACAATTTTAGCTAAACGAAAACCTAAGAAACCATCACAAATACAAGGTATGTAGTTTCACAAATTCTATTTAATCTTCCATTTGAGAGTATTTTTGTCAACATAAATGACCATTACCTATTTCAACAACATTTATAGCGGTAAATAATATGCAATCATCATCATCATATCAGCCGAGAGACGCCCACTGCTGGGCATAGGCCTCCCCCAAAGATCTCCAACGTGATCGGTCCTGCGCCTCACGCATCCAGCGGCTTCCCGCGACCCTCACCAGATCGTCGGTCCACCTTGTGGGAGGCCTATGTGCAATAATAATAAATAATAATAAAAGACTATATATTTAGAAGAAATATATGTTATGGGATTAATTTAATAAGAAGTTTTTAATCAAGATTCGGATAATGATAATATCACAACTTTACTTTATCACTATTCTGAACAAATCCAGTATTTTTATCAAAAACCTAAAGCTTTTGTGGATTATGATCTAAGCTCGCAACGCGTTCAGTTAAAGATTTCTGTTGAATGTTGTTATTTCGGCTAAAACTAACTAAAATTTCAAACGATATTTTTAGAAAGATATTGAGATATGAACTAAACTAAAACTTTCTATATGATTCACTAATGTTGTACGTGAAACGTGATGATATTTTTAGCTTTTAGCTTAATATTCTTGTTCGTGATATATGTTTACCCGATTGCGCGACGCAAAGGAGGGTAATGTGTTTATCAGTCTATGTATGTATATATGTTTGTTTCTATGTGGCGTTCTAGAGACCGAATTCGTAGTCCGATATTTATGATTCTTACGTCAATCGATTTAACCTTGTGAATGTCACTAAAGACATGACAGTACCTACTCAAAATTCACCACAGCGACAACCAAACGCCATATTGTCAAAATGAAAAAAAAAAGTCGATGAACTATGTGAACAGGGGTGTCGTTGAATAGGTATTTTAAAATCATATTTAGGTTTCTTTTATCACTTTTCATTTTAAATAATAGTTTAGGATATATTACGATTTAAAGTTGTTTAACAAAACAATCATATTCGCTAATTTTCTTACTTATTGATTTAAGTTTTTATTTAAAGTATTAAGGATATACAAACAAAAATAAAGGTCAAGCATATGTAGTTTTGAGCCGAGTTAGGTCTCTTGAGGGACTAATCATCAGTAGTTCAGACCACAGCAATTTACTTAATAATCCACACGATATTAACTCCCTCAATGAAATGACTAGATTGCGAAATTTACCATCTTATCACGAAGTCAACGAATCGTAACTAAAAATTATAAAATAAAAATAAATAATTTAAAGAAAAACAAAAATCCCGACTTCGTAAAAACAAATTTTAAAAAATACATGAATAAATTAACTTAAATAAAAACTAAAAAGAAAAATCAAGCCCAGTAGTTTAGAATTCTGTTAAGTAATACTAAATAACTACACAATTGAAATAGTTTTATAATCGATACACACATAAAACAAATAATAAATTCTAATGCAGAACAGAACGACTCAGAGTCGGGGCCCATTCAAATTATTTAAGTTAAGCTTTCCATGTATATTTTAAAATTAGTTTTTTATTTGAGTTAATTTTTATGTATTTTTTAAAATTTATTTTTTCGTAGTCGGGTTTTTTGTTTTTACGTAATCGATTTTAGCATACTTTTTGCCATCTTTTAAGCAATTCCACGTATAATTTAATTTCGCATACTGTTCCTAGACATGTGAGAACAGATCATTGAAATTAGGACAAACAAAAGTATGCCATGTTCAATATTTTATGCAAATAGAAGAAATTAAAAAAAAAAAACAAACATATCTAATACTCGAAAAACGTGTGTATGCATTAAAGAGCAGCTAAAATTTTGTATGATATATTTCAAAGCATGGGCGTAGTCATCGAGACATAAACTGAATAATACAGTAAAATTTGAATATTGATTAATGTAATGTAATAATTAAAAGTAGATTATTTTATAAAATATTTGACATATTCATATTACAGAAGCAGATGTCACAGTTAGCATTTCCAGGGAACAAGAATTTCCAGGTACGTTATACATTATATTTTGAGTAAATATTTATATTTTTGATATTCATAATAAGTTATTTCATTTGATATGTAAATATTCAGTTTTAAATTATCGCGCTGCATTATTACATTATAATAACAGGTTTTAGACGCGATTTTTACATTGACCTGCGCCGACGTTTCGGGCGAGTTGCACCAGCCGTGGTCACGACGAGACTGGAGCAGCAACACTACGCCTCTACATCCGAGGATGAATCTTCTTTCACCCTCAAATTTTTCATCCAACTACCGTCACAAACAAAACTGGAGGAACACTATTCTGGAGATTTACCGGTTGCGAAAATTGCGTTTCAAAAAAAATTGCGACTTAAAGAGATTTCGTTTTATTAAATACTTTATTCTACGCTTGTGACAATTTATATCGGTCTTCCCGATTGAAGTTATTAGGATATTTCTTAATTTCAATCGCTTCACGCACTACACTTGAATAAAAGTGGCGTTCCGTGAAAAGGACTTGCGTACGGTAAAACTCAATCCAGTGATTTGTGTCCCTTTCCAGTAGGTGTTCCGCAATGGCAGACTTACTCACCTGACGGTTTTTGACAACTGCTATGTTTTCTTTAATCCTTTCTTTGATGGATCTCTTGGTTTTACCTATATAGGAACCACCACAGCTGCAGTCGATTTTGTAAATCCCCGGTGTTGACTAAGACAGAATATCCTTGGCAGTGTCTACGATGTCACTCCCTCTTATACCTGGAGTATAAACTGTCAGAATGGAGGACTCACGTAATACGTGGACGACCTTGTCCCTCACTCCTTTGACATAAGGCATATAGGCTGGCTGTCTACTCACCATAGGATGCCTGTACCTCTTCATTGGCTGCTTTTGTCGCCCCATCACCTGGTATCCGTTTCTATGTAGAGCCTCCTGAACATGCTGTAGCTCCCGCTCTAAATGCTCCGGGTCACAGAGGTCGTATGCTCTGTTCTTCTACGAATTTACTACAGATTGCAGGTGACGGTATCCTATCTGGGTGCATTGGTTTTCGGTATACACAGTGTGTTAAGGACCCATCAGACCTCGCGGCTAATCTTACATCTAAAAAAGGCAACGATCTATCCGTTTCCATTTCGTAAAAATCGCGTCTAATACCCGTTATTATAAATATGTTATGTAAATAGCTTTTAAAACTTTTTTATTTTCTAATTTATTCCACAAAAGAAGCCTAACGAAGCCTCAATAACTTAAGGTTTTTTATGTTTCATATGCCAAAAAGTCCTGGTTTTATAAAAGGCTATCAACTGATCATTAAGAAAATGAAATCAGAAAGGGAAAGATGGTTAAGTATCGTTTAAGTTTGGTTTAAGACGTGCATAACTTTAAATTTTCAATTAAAAAACCGAGTGTATGATTTTGATAAACCAGCCTTGCAATTTCATGTCATTTTCTTTTTAACATTATGGGCATTCTTAATGGGATATCATTATTGCACAGTTTGACTGTAAAATAAATAGCTGGTGACTCACTATACGTCACAATGCTATATTGTATTATGGTGCCCGCTAAAGGCTATATTATAAATACTCATGCACAAGGTATACTTGCCCAGGCAATAATAATAATGAACTGTGTTAACTCGCGAAGAAGATACCTACCCCCTAATCATAGCTGGAATATTTTCTATTAAAGACACGCCACTGGATGTTCGAAGTGGAGATACAGTATTTGCTGTATATTCATACGTGGCTGAAACAGACGAGGCGATCAACCTGGTAGAAGGCGAGCGCCTCTACATATTAGGTAATGTAAAAAGCAAGGAAATAGTTTTATATTTTTAAATTACATCGCGTTCTAACAGATAAATTATTAAAATTCTGAAACTATTAATTATATATTTGTTCTTTTGTTTCATTTACCGAAAAGTAACAATATGATTCTGTATAAAAATAATCTTTCTTTGTACATAAATATGTACCTATTAAACACTTTCCGTTATTTGTCCGTTATTTGTATATATTCCGTTAAATCTCACTATCATACAAACACACATTGAAGTTCAAGTATTTAATTTATTTACCTGAAGTGACCAGTTAAGAAATAATTAGAATAGGTTCAAAGGAATATCATTTTATCGTGTTATGTTTCCCAATAATACTCCGAGAGCGGAGTTTAATCATCTTTTAAAATATCTATACTTTAAGTTGTTGGCACCTTATTTATTCGGGTATTTATTTATTGGTATATAGGGTGATTTTAACTAATTGGTAAGTAAAGGATCGGTATTATTAATAAACGTGTTCACAGGTACGAGTTTACTTTGAGACTGTTCTAATGTTGAATGACGACTTACAAATGCATTGTTGTTTATATTACAAATGTCACAAAATGGTATAAATAAAAAATTACTTCTCATTTAAATGTATAGTTCACGTAACATTTTTATTATGTCACATCACCAGCCTTTTTACGTCCCCACTGCAGGGGCTCAGGCCTTAAGGCTCAGATTAAGGAGGACGGGCCATGACCCTCCACGATGGCCCACTGCGGATTGGAGGGTATTAACGACTGCAAATGCAGTCGGGACCAACGGCTTAACGTGCCTTCCGACGCACGGAGTAGCTCGAGATAATAATTTTTTGGTCACCCATCCCGTGACCGACCCTTACGAAAGTTGCTTAACGACAACGATCGCGGGCCGCGGCGCTTATCCACTACGCCACCGAGCTACTCTTTTTATTATGTAAAAACTTCCAATTCAATAACTATTACATTAATGTGACTTAACTGTAATCTGCACAGAAACAACAAATCAAGACTGGTGGTTTGTACGTAAGCATCTCACAGAAGAAAAAGGTTGGGTGCCTGCTCAGTATCTGATGGATGAAGCTAATTATACACTGTACCTTCAGAAGAAACTAAATGAAAAGATTGATAAACTGCCAGTGTTTGAGAGTAAGTATTGTATTATAATCAATCAGCACATGCTTCAGTTGAGATTTACTTTAGAAAACTTTATAGATAGATTACGAACTGATTTATATTATAAACCACATTACTGTTATTCCATGAGACTATTGATGTTAAATTATCTGTATTAATACTAGAATAGTAGCCTCCATCTAAATTTAATAATATTACAGAGCCTGCATCTGAAGAGCAAGCAGTCGCACCCATATTCGTCGAGAAATTACGACCTAAGCATACACCTGATGGTTCTACCGTGCAATTTGAATGCCAAGTAGAAGGTCATCCTCGACCTCAGATAACGTGGTTCAGGCAAACGGCTATAATCAAACCATCACAAGATTTCCAAATGTATTACGATGACGATAATGTAGCCACTCTTGTGATTCGTGAAGTATTCCCTGAAGACGCTGGTACATTCACTTGTGTAGCGAAAAACGCCGCTGGATTTGCATCCAGCACCACAGAGCTGGTGGTTGAAGCACCACTGTCTGATCACGGATCTGAAATGACTATATTATCAAGAAAAAGTCTTTCTAGAGAATCGTCTTTGGCAGATATACTTGAGGGTATTCCACCAACATTCTCGAAGAGGCCAAAGGCACAGTATGTAGATGAAGGGACTCAAATATTCTTGGAATGTCGGCTCGTTGCTATCCCCGAACCTGACATAGCATGGTTTTTCAAGGGAGAAGAGATCATTCCGGATGAAAATATTTCTGTAGCAACTGAGTCCGACATGCATATGTATTGTAGTGTACTCAAAATATCAAATGTAAAGAAATTCCAAGAAGGAACATACACCGTTTTGGCCGTCAACAGGGAAGGTGAAGCCAGTTTGCCGATCGTTCTTAAAATAAAAACTGGACAGAGGGAAAAACCACAAGTTATAGAGCCTTTGAAAAATATGACTATAAGAGAAGGCGAAAGTGTTGTATTAAGCGCTCAGGTGGTGGGTAATCCACAGCCAAAAGTAACATGGTATAAGAATAATGAACCTGTCAAAAAGCAAACTACGAAATCTGACGGTGATACCCATACGATCACAATTGTTAAACCAAAGAAGGGCAAAGATGATGGTGTATACACTCTAAAGGCAGTTAACTCTGAAGGTTCTACTGAAACTTCTGCTGTGATTACAATAGAAGGTAAAAAATTTGATATATATATATATATATATGTGTGTAAATTTATACTTAAAAACAAGGTGAGCGCACACAGAACCTGTAAAGAATCCGGAACATCTTAAAATTACCAAATGTATATGCGATTTATACGTTAAAAGTAGTTTTACTTTATGTACATGTATGTTTTGATTGTATTTATCAGCATACAGGATGCTTAATTTTGAATAATATAAAAAACAAATATTATTAGTATTATTATATTTGAAGACCTCCTTACGAGTGGTTCGCACGCCATTTTCAAGGTGTCATCGCCGAGGTTCCCGTTTTTGATTCCCGGTCGAAACAATGTTGAAAAAGGACTTTTCTATGTTGCTTCGGGTCTGGGTATCGTGTGGTATCTTTGTTGTCTTAGATACCTCATAATACGGGTACTTCAGCTACTTATCTTAGAATCAGACTTATGTAATAATACATTTTTCAATTATATTTTTTTACAAGTATAATAAATATTCATTTTTTTAACATTGCAGAACCTACAGAAGAGAATGCTGAACCACCGTTATTCATTAACAGATTCCAAGAACTTACCGTTAAAGAAAAGGGTGTCATAAAATTAGTAGCAAGAGTAACGGGCAATCCTGTTCCAATTATAACATGGTATAGAAATAATCAGATACTAACTCCATCGGAAACAGTCACACAAAACTTTGATGGTGAAAACATTGAATTAATTATTACAAATGTTGACTCTGAAATTGACTCTGGGGATTACAAATGCGTTGCATCTAACAGCGCAGGAAAGTCATCGCACGGAGCGCGCGTAACCATTGATGTCGACAAGGTGACATTCATTAAGAATTTGAGAAAATCATACGAAACTGAAGAAGGAAAAACAGTGGTACTGGAATGTCAAACATCTCATACAGTGTCTACAAAATGGTATCACAATAATAAAGAACTCAGTGGCATGGACCACAGGGAAATAATACAAGAAGGTCGAGTTCATAAACTAAGGATAAAGAAAACAAAATTGACCGATGTAGGAGTCATAAAATGCGTTGTGAAAGATCAGGAAACTAGTACTAAATTAATCGTTCATGAAACCATCCCCGAATTTACACGGAAATTGCAAGACTTTGAAGTAAAGGAAAGGGACGTTGCTATATTGGAAGTAGAAATAAATTCCGAGACAGCAGATGTATTTTGGGAGAAAGACGGTGAAAGGATCAAAGCAAAGAAAAATAAGTACGAAATCGAGAAACGTGGCAATGTGCGCAAACTTTTCATAAGAAATACTTCAGTGCACGATGAAGGTGAATACACGTGTATATTAAGAGATGATGCATGTACTGCAGAGGTAACGGTTGTAGAATTACCACCAGAAATTATTTCACGTCTTCAAGACCAAAAAGTTAGTAAAGGTAACAAAGCCACATTTGAAATTGAGCTTACCAAGGGCGACGCACTTGTTCGTTGGTTTAAAGACGGAACTGAAATACAATTTTCCAATCACATGCAACTCACTATTGACGGTAAGAAGCAAAAACTGAAAATATATGAGTGTGAAAACAGTGATGCCGGTGAATATTCTTGCGAAGTAGGAAGTGATAGATGTACAGCGAAATTAATTGTTGAAGAACCGTCGGTTGATTTCGTGCTCCGGCTTCCAGAAGTAATCGTTGTGCCAGCTAATACTGATGCTTACTTAACTGTTGAAATACCTGACGAGACATTAGATGTCACTTGGTTCAAGAAAAAGACTGTTATTGAAGACACCGAGAAATATACACTTATTTCCGATGTCAACAAACGTACTTTAATTATACGAAAATGTACTGAAGACGATCAGACTGAATATTCATGTGCATTGTTAGACGCAAGATGTTCCACAAAATTAATTGTTGAAGGTAAGAAAAAAAGAAAGTATCTATCGATTACGTAAGGTCACAGCCTTGACTAAAACATAAAGCGAGCCGAGCGAATGCAGTGTGGTGGACGCGCTAACTGCCATCGAGCGACATGTTCAAGTTATTAACTCACTAAAATACTTTTAAATATATTATTTTTCTCTATTATACTTTTTGTAACTAAAAATATATACGACCATTTCCTGATATTAATAAATACTAGCTTAATCATGTGCAAACTCGTTATAACTAAAATTCATTTTCTACTGTAACTTATATTGTAAAAAAGATCGTCAGCAACAACACTTGTACATACAGATGTTTTTTTTACAGTATTAGAGTCACCACCAAGGATCATATCATATGATAAAGAATATAGAGTTAAACGTGGTAATGATGTTACTATACAAGTTGACTATGAAGCTATACCTCAACCGAACGATGAATGGGTGGTTAATTCTAAAATCATAAAGAAATCTAAACATACAAAACCATCAATAGACTCTAAATACGCTAGTTTGACCATAAAGAAACTGGAGAACACTGATGCAGGTGTCTACAAGCTTAAGTTAGAAAATAACTGTGGTGAAGTGGAAGTTGAAATAGCGGTAGTTGTCCTAGGTAAGTCTCGTAACCTGGAATTAATTTTTATTATTAAATTTATGTAGTTTCAAACCTCAAGGCAGCCATATATTACTTTCCTTATTGTAATAATACATAACAAATGTTTTCAACTGCACTTTATTATTAAAAATATTATATTTCATTGTCCTTGTTCAAAACGAGATTAATAATCGTACATCTGCAGTTGCTGTATTCTTGAGCACAATTTTTTTTGTGTATAAAATTCTGTAAATACTAAATTAATAATTTAATGCAACATCATTATTCAGATTTACCATCAAAGCCAGGAAAACCAAACGTGATAGATACAAGTGATACTTCAGTGAATTTATGTTGGGAAGAACCTGAAAACAATGGCGGTTCTGATATACAATGTTATATTGTTGAATACCAAGAAATTAATACAACTGAGTAAGTATTCATAGAAAAAATTAAAGAAAAATTACTTGTTCATTCAAACATTTCTCTATAATGTTATTTTAAAAAACACGAACAACCTAGCAGGATAACATAACAAGCTCTAAAAAGAAACGTTTCGTCTAGAATTTTTTTAATGACGCAATTTATCGTAAAGTAATTATTTTTCAAAGTTTTAATTGTGTTGACAAGCTACAGTTACAGTTAAATAGGTCAAAATCAAAGGCGCACGCGCCTCTCCGCCTCATCCCTGAAGTTCGTCGGGTATTTACATAATCTGGGTGTTACGTGTATACTCGGTATAACTCGTTATCATTTGAGTGGTCAATTTAAGTATTTTTTTTTAATATTAAAAATAAAATGTAACAAAATATCAAAACTTTTACAATGTACGTTTATAATGTTGGTTATCAAGTACTGCGAGGTTCTTAGTGTTTTACACTTACCCTTGTATGTAATATATCTCTCCAATAATAATCGCAAAATCGCATTCATGATGTTAGCCATTAAAATATTTAAGAATATATACTCAACATTTATGAATTCTATTACCGTTATGATATATTTAACATTATTCAATTTTAGATGGACATCTATTGAAAACGTTACTACAACACAACATACCATCGATAAATTGAAGAACAAATCTTCATACAGATTCCGTGTATTCGCTGTCAATGAAGTTGGTGTCAGTGAAGCATCAGATGTTACAGAATATGTTAGGATAGAAAAAGACTCAAAATCACAAGCACCTACGGTTGAAAAACCTTTGAAGGATCTTATCAGTACTCCGAATGAGGATGTGGAGTTAACGTGTATATTTGGTGGTATTCCTCAACCTAAAGTAGCATGGTCTAGAAATGGCAAGTCACTGAAAACAGCGAAAGCTTCATACGTTAACAGAGTAGCGACTCTCGTTGTAACTGCATCGGAAACAACAGAAGGAGTATATAAATGTGTTGCAACCAACGAACACGGAGAAGCTGAAACATCTTGTACATTAGAAGTACAATTGAAGCCGATCATACATGTTGCTGAGAGGGAAATCAATCAAAAATTACGAGTAGGTGAAGAGTGGTCAGTGACCGCGAACATACAAGGCATTCCCAAACCATCAGTAATATGGAACAGAAATGGTGCCAAAATAGAAAAATCTAAAGAAATCGAAATAACGACTGAAGAAGAATACAGCACAATAAGGATCACGAACCTACAACGCTCACACACCAACAAATACACCATCGAAGCTCATAATAAGGCTGGCACCAGTTCTGTGGAACTGACGCTGAGAGTGTATGGTAAGATAAAAATACTTTCAATGTTAATTATGACTGTCTGCTTAGTTTTGAATACTTGATACGTATTATGTTTATAAATATATTATACGACTGCACTAGTCCACTTCATTTAGGTGGAACAGTTCAGTACATGTTTCTGTAAGTACTCTTATTAGAACTTTAAAGCAACCTCACGATTCTAGATGACAGCGAACGCCGTAGCAAATCCCAATCTCCAGACGAAGAATATTTGGGTAACAATTCCACAATGGCCCTTTGACTCTTTTTTACCTATTTTAATCTAATGGTACCATTTTATTACCAACTGATTATAAAAAATCATATCGATTTTAGTGCTAAACAAATTAACAAGACTATAAAATTATCTATTAATATCAAAACATCCAATATCATCTAAATATCAAATAACAATCAACGAAACGTCCTAATAAGACCTATTTTTTTATAGTTTACCTTTATATTATTCAACTTTTTTAACTTTACAAAGCATGTATGGATGACTCGTCACCGAGAAAAAGAGGTTATCAACAAATGTATTTTTCTGAAAAAAGTGTCCTCCATTGAACTAGCATCCAGCATGAAAAAACAATAATGAAATCGATCAATCACTAAATGATAATATTAATTTTCAGACAAACCTAGTAGACCCGAAGGTCCTGTTATAATGAGAGAAATCAGTAGAGAATCTGTCACAATCGAATGGAAGCCACCACTCGACGACGGTGGTTTGGAGTTGACAAAGTATGCTATCGAGAGACACGAACCAGAGATTGACCAGTGGGTGAAGGTAGCAGACGTGGACAAGAGCGTAGAGACCTATTGCATCCAGAGACTGAACGAGAATTGCGAATACATGTTCAGGATAATGGCTCAGAATCCAATTGGTTACTCGGAGGCGTTAGAAAGCGAGCCGATTGTAATAAAGACTGCACTCGGTGAGTACTTTTTTAATTACAATGTAGAACAGCATACCTTCAACTATATTAATTGAACTTCGAATGACTACTGGCTTTGAGCTCAAATTTAAAATTGGAGCTACACGACAAATCATATGCCTAGAACTAAAACGTGAAAATATGACGACGTTGAAGGGTTTAATCGATTTAATTTAATCTATTTATATTAATTCTATTATTTATATCTAATTTTATGGCAAATAGGGATGGTGACTATTTTTTTGAAGAACTTTTGTTAACCAATCAAATTGTTAGACTATCTTTCAAAAAAGGCCCGTTAAAGAATTTGTTTCTATTTTACAGACGTACCTTCACCACCTTTGGGACCATTGGGTCTCTATGGCATCGACAGCAATTCAGTCACCGTGACCTGGTATCCATCCGAGAAGAACGGAGGGTCTCCCATTCTAGACTACAGCGTAGAGATAAAACAGGAGGGCAAGAAATGGAAGCAGGTTGCCACCGTGACGGAGACCAGCGCCAGGATAGAAAAACTAACCAAAGATATCACGTACCAGTTCCGGATATGCGCCAGAAACGAAATAGGAACAAGCCAGCCGTACATTTCTGATGAGAAGATCACTATCGGAAAAACATTGTGTGAGTGTCATTTTCACAACAAAATATTGTTAATTTTCCAAACGGTGTACATCCACAGGTACAGGTGACTTAGCTAGACAGTGATGTGACTACACAAGGCTCGCAAACTTAAACAATTTAAATAATTATCGAAATTATAAACAATTTAAATAATATTATTAAGAGGTAGAATTTGTAACTTTGTTTATAGGGAGATACTGACCCGAGCATTATTTTTTTTTACCTACGGGAAGCTAAATCATACGCGGGTGACACGCCTTGTAAATGATGCAGGCGAAGTCCTTAGAAAACAGCTAGCTTTTTTATGAAATTCACCCGTTTTTATAGTTTACTGCTACAAATTTGAAAAAGTCCGGCTTATGCGACAGAACTGTTACGGATATTTGTAGTTCGTGATTCATAAGTACATAGTCATTATTTGTCATAATGATCTTCGTTTTTCACACTCCGAATGGTTCCTATTTGCTATTTGGATTTCGCGGTAAAACCGGTAGGTACCAAATTATGTATCCGGTCCTATCAATATTATTTACTTAGACTAGTGAATTGATATTTTGTAGAACACAAAATATCCAATAGAAGTTCGAGTCGCACTCCGTTATTTTTCCTGCTAATATTGTCATTTAATGAACAACACGTTGAGTTATACAAATCTATTATTTTTCACGACAAATGGAATCATTTGGTGTATACACTGCATACAAACATATATATGAAATAGATATATTAATATTTTTAGCTCCACCATCACAGCCGCTCAACTTCTTAGTGCGGGAAATAACATCGCGCACTGTAGCCTTACAGTGGGCCGCCCCAGAAAGCGACGGAGGAAGCCCAATTACAAGTAAGTCACATACGTACATTCTGTCGAGAAAGTATCAAGTATCTGTCATTTAAAAAGATCTCGTAGACCGACTTCCGAAATTAATTTTGTAAGCTAAATTAGCACAAACGCCCTCTATAGTAGCTACATGGGTATACTCAGGGGTACAAATGTTTAAAGTACGCTGTTTAGTCACTCAATTATAAGTATGTTTGCGATTTTTATAATCGATAAAAATATTTAATAAGAATCTATGTACAAACAGTGGGCAAAGGCAGAAATTTTTTGAACGGTGAGCCAGACCACAAAAAATTACTTGCTATTGTGTTGAAACGACAAAGGGTTATGAGCCCCTTAAATACGATACAGGATCAGCCCTTTTACGTCCCCACTGCAGGGGCTCAGGCCTTCCTTATGGATGGTTAAGGAGGATGGGCCATGACCCTCCACGCTGGTCCAATGCGGATTAAACGACTGCAAATGCAGCCGGGACCAACGGCTTAACGTACCTTCCGAAGCACGTAGTAGCTCGAGATAATAATTTTTTGGTCACCCATCCCGTGACCAACCCTTGCGAAGGTTGCTTAACGACAACGATCGCGGGCCGCGGCGCTTATCCAATACGCCACCGAGATACTCTACAAAACTGCATTACAATTTAGTATTTACTCAGATAGTCAATGGTTTAATATAATATCAACAATGTCAAAAATTGACAGAAACAACGGTGTTTACTAAGCAAAATAAATGTACATTTTCATTAATAAATTAATTAAAACTTCAAGTCCTCATTAATTTAATAATTTTTATTCTGTATTGAATATAAATATTAATACTGTAGGGGAAGAGCTCAATTTGCAATGCCGGTGTTAAGTAACATTCGCTAATTGGTCACCCATGCAATGATCAAAAATGTATTGTTTCGAGCTTTTATTTCCATTCTCCCTATCAGGAATGGCTTGTGCCCCCGCAATGTCAACAGGACATTCAAAATGATAATGAATCTTATAGCATAGTGTGAGCAAGTGTATACTGGCATATAAGACGCATCTTTCCATACATTTTTATTTTCTATAAATAAATATAAAGGACATTGCTCAACGTCCATACATTGGTGGGCCCACAGCCAAAAAAAAATAGGAAAATACTTATTTTATTGTGTGTCACTAACTAATTCTCATTATGTATTTATTATACCGCAACCAAGTTTTAGAACTTATTATCACGCAAAATATAATTCATTTTGAGGTTATAATTTGTTTGGAAAACCACCAAGAGATGGCACTCTAAGTACATGATATGATATTGATGTCTATATTGTCGAAGCAAAAAAACTCAACTTTAAGAAAGTCGGTTTTTCGTTGTGATTTGTAAAAGTTTCTAAGTCAATCAATAGACAAATAAATCATTTTAATAGTTAAATAATATACCTATTGATAAGCTTAAAATTAAAAAACCTATAGCTTTTTGATGGTTTATTAAACAAAGTAGTTTTTAGGATATGTCGTATGAATATCAATATTTCTGAATAAACAAGAGAGTGAATTATCAACAGTTAATGAATTTAATTTGTATAATATTCAGTTTTTATGTCCTTATGTTTTAGTTGGAAAATCACTAAGAGATGGCGCTTTTAGTAAATTTAAGTTTATTTTCGGTCAATTTAATTTAATGTTTTTGTGTTCGATTTGATGTTTTTGTGTTGTGGGCTCGTTGTGTTCGATTTAAAGGTTATCTAATAAAAATAAATGATCTTCTTGATCTGACGTGTAAATTACATCCATCTGACTCAATAGAATTAAGTATATTGAATGTAAATATTTGCGAATAAAAATGTTACTGTTAAAGTACTTTTAAATATTAATTTTGGATCGCAGCTTGTCCGTGTCAAATAAATATTTGATTCCAATTTAATAAATAAATTAGTAATTATTATTGAAGTATTAATATTTAATGGTATTGGGGCCATTTTCGGCGATGTCCTTTATGTTCTTATTGTTACTACACGAGTAATCATGGCCCATCCATGTTCCGAGCCCCTGCAGTGGGAACGTAAAAGGGCCGATGACAATGATGACGTTTCTATACAAAATGCAAAGTGTTTCAAATCTTTCGCGTAGCTTTCACCATTCACTTCGGTGTTGGGTTAAAACTGACACACCACCAACGAAACGGTAACTTAAACTATTGTTTAGTTCAAAATAGGTCCCCCAAATTAATCGAGGTTATAGTATTAAATCGAGGATATCGTATATCCTACAACGCTGATAATTATTTATTATCTCACTAACGTTTCTTCTACAGATTACATCGTTGAATACAAGACTGTGAAAGGCAAGTCGTGGACTAAGGTCGTGACAGTGGGTGGCGCAGCGCGCGACTACCGCGTCGAAAACATCAGGGAGAAAGACGAGCTAGTGTTCAGGGTGTCTGCTGAGAACGCAGTGGGAGTCAGCCTGCCAGCGTTATCGCAAACAGTACGATTGGAGAAACACGCCAGTGAGTACTTTCAACTGTGTATCACTGTGGCTTCAAGTAGGCACTTAATATAGATCAAAAGGTCAATGATCATCGTAACTTATTGTTTCAATTACCGTGCAGTCTTTCGTCGGTGCTATAAGGCTATGCGTGATTTTTTTTTCCCCTGTATCGTATGTATGTAGAAATAAATTACGATGAGATATAATAACGAAGTTCGCGCTTAACTTTAAAGCTATAAAAACGAAAGACGCATAAAATATATAAATCGTGCCTGTGGCGTGGCGTGAAGATGTAATCGAATGATCATTTCCATGGGAACCACTTACTGGTACAGTCTTATCAGAGCGGAACATAATTTATTGAAATAGGAATTCACAAAAACATTGATAGTACGTATTACGATACATTGCAAAAAGTTTCAACAGTGAAAAAAAAAACGTTTTTTGGGTATCAAAATCGCGCGCTAATCCTTTAGGAGTTTAGATATTAAGTTATTAATGTTGATCGTTCATTCCAGCTGTTCCGTCACCACCAACAGCGCCACTAGAAATCAGAACAGTTGGCAATAACATCGTGATGACGTCATGGGGCACGCCAGAATGGGACGGCGGCGCCCCACTGCTTGGCTACAACGTTGCCATCCGTGACGTCACTAAGACCATGTGGATGGAGGTCGGCACGGTGGACGCGCACACTCTGAAGTTCGCCATACGAGACCTCAGCGAGGATCACACCTACATGGTCAGGATCTACGCGCGCAACGAGATCGGCCTCAGCGAACCGCTCGAGTCCGACGAACCTTTCAAAGTTGTGCCTGGCGAAGGTGAGTGTTGTACACAGCTTGAACTATGCAAATATCATTCCATTAAATAAAGAAAGGCGAATACTCAATGTATTTAAGTGTATACCTATTGTTGGTTACCCTATTGAAACCCTATCTTAACGTCGGTAAATATCAATACTAACTTTATGGGATTTATTAGATGTTAAACACCTAAGCAAATTTCAAAAAGTCTGTCGAAAAAACTGCTAAAACGGATAAATTCATCCCTCCGCGGCTCGGAAAGATATTAAGAAAAAGAAATTGTTACAGACTTATTTCACAGGCTGCGTCAGCCGATACCTATTATTATCTTGTTGTCTCAATGTTATCAGGATATTTGTTTTTTTTTTTTTACGAATTCTGGACATCCCCTAAAAGAGCGGGACAATAAAGACGAATCCCGACCATCTGGTAACTATGACCACAACACTTTGTATATATACCATAGCTAAATAGGTATGTAATATCAGTAAACTAAAGGTAAAATATGTCACAGAACAATAATAAAAGTATCATTGTAAACAATCCCAGGGCTTATCTCAGTCCCGGAGTTATATAAATAAACAGATAACCTATAAATAACTTACAACTCTCGATGTTGATGAACTTATCACGGCCTTATTAATTTATAACCACATAAACAATATCACTTATTAAGTATTCGTCTTTTATTAATAAAAATATGCATTATTCAGTTTCTTAGATTGATTGACGTACACAAAAATTTAACCCACCGATAAACAGATATTTGGTCTGTGGTTTGTGTACAAGATGGATGATACGTAGTATAGATGTTTATTCGGAAATTCAACTTCCGGTTTGATACATCTGTCATTGTTGTTCTTCAAAAATAATGAATCATTAATGATATTTTTTTTATTTTAAAATCTATATAGAATCCAATATCATAACAGAAAGATGACACCGATTTTAAAAATATATAATTATATCAGATTTAATTATTTTTGAAGAACAATAATGACGGAGGTATCTAAGCGGATGTTCAATTTCCGAAGAAACACTAATTAACACTAGTCGAAAACATCCGCGGGCGTGCGCCATACGATCGATTTCGTTGGTCTAACATTGTGTTATTTACCAATGAAATTAAAGCGCACTCTGTGTGCTGACCCCGTCGAGCAGCGTAACTGAGCCAATTATAATTATTATTCATGTTATCTGGGCTCTATTATTAGTGTTATCAACTTAAAAACAATTTTTTATATTACATAATTATGTATTATTTAGTGAAATTCTAACATACCTACATAGTATCGGCTTATATACATACTTTAAATATAGATTTTTTAAATATACGAAATTCGTTTATGTATACACCAAAAACAAGAATATATTTGTTAAGTGGCAATGTTCTTTTGGTCGCTTTGAGATCAGCATGTGTGCGTAAATAATAAACGTACCTACTAAATTCAAACGTAAATTCAATAGCAAATCTTATCTTAACACGTATTTCAACCACACGAAGCCAATTTTTTATCATGGGCTTTGATTGATTCTTAAATGTGTACGAGTTTAAGATTTAATGTTAGTTTGGCGATCGTTCTGTTACAAACCACTTACTACACGAATGTTGCTGACTTCGGGACAATACATTTTTACCAAATAGCATTTATTGATTTTTGTCATCAACAGTTTTTGTGTATAAAAACTTGCAATTTTAACAATTTTGTCAGTTTCTGCCTACCGGTTGACTTTCGGCAAAGAAACTAAGAACAAGCCTCCGCTACGCAAAATCTTTAATCGTCAATAACATAAGAAGTAGTGGTAAGGGTAAAAGAAACAGTGATCGTTATCATAAATAATAACTATAATTTAAAATAAATACAGTGCAATAAAATAAGTTTTTTTTTAAACAAAGTTTTGTGCGCGGTGTAACAGATGGCTCAATTAGCTAGCGGCATTATGCGTTTTATTTCATTCAAAAACTACAAAATATATTATAATATAAAAATATATATAATTTACATTGCACTTGATTATAAATATTCATTATTTGTGAAGAGGTAAAAATATAGCATATCTAGAATTCTTGTGTGAGACCGAAAAGTTAAGGTTCGCATACACGGTATAAGAGTAAAACATAAAAAATAAACAGAAACACTATAACATTTATAAAGTATTTTTATCATATGTCAGTATATGTTTGCCTTTAAATATTTGCAGGTGATATTTGATTACATATCCGCAAGCGATTACTATTGCATCGTTGCATCGATAATTTAGATCGAAGATCACAATTGTTGCGTTCTACTTTCAGATTCGCACGCTGATGAAGAACCGGGAGAGCATACAGAATTGACGGAGCCGACGTCGTTCAGCACGCAGACCACCACCTCGTGGCTGCGCGATCACAATATGGACGCGGATATCCGGTCGTATGCCCGCGGCTCGCTACTTCGCCGCGACGAGTACTTCTTCCGGATATGGCACTACGCGAAACAGTTGTTCAAGTAACACGTTGCGTACGCGCCTTAATATACCTGTGATATACATAGTTTCCGGACGCCAGTCACCAACATTGGTCACGAGCGTCCAACATCGATAATTTTGTAATTTTCTAAGTTTTTTTATACCTACAGTCATTTGGTACAACTACGTACCATATTTATTCTAGATAAGATTTAAATTATTTATTTATTTAATTTAATTTATTAATAAATAAATACTAATGATCAGCTTTGAATCTCACTCGATAGTTATAGGGAGACGTTTTTAATATAGGTGCACATTAATCGAGAAATCGAATGAGGTTCGAATATGTCATTAGTATTTACAGTGAAATGAAGTTATTTAATAAATTGGATATTCTTAAAAATCAATAGAATTTTCATTTTTTATTTACAAATATTCCACTAGTACACCTCACGAATGAACATAAAATGGTTCGTACTTTGAACAAGGATGCCGATATTTTCATTAAATGTTAAGAAAACGAAATACTTTAAAAATTACTTGTGATCTTATATAAAACATTTAACTACTTGTGAAAAACATAAAAAAAATCGAGCCATATATTAAACATAGCTATTTAATTATATGAGTATACACTTCCATGGATGAGGCAATCCATAAAAAGTGAGACTACCCACTTACAGTACCATTGCGTCATCGTCGCAGAGTGCTGTCTGTCCTCATTCGTTGTGGACTCGTCGTGGGGTACAGACGTAAAGGTAAAATTAAAATAAAATGGTTATGACTTTTTAAAGAACTTTGTTTGGAATAATTGCTGTTATTTTTTTTTCATTTTTCATTCAGTTATTTTTATGTATTCAGTGATAATTTAACACATTCAACATTATATTTAATCGTTATTATGTACATATATTTAAAAAACTACCATTACACTTCAAAGATGAGATATTTTGCCTGTCTATAAGCAGCTCAGGTATACGCTGATCCTTATACAATGAGGAAGTATTTAAAAAAAACATTAATTCCCGAAATTAAACTAGTGCTAAGGTACGTTCTTGATTTCTCCATGACAACCCTTCCGGTTTTCTTTCACGTTTAAAAGTAAATTAGTTTTCAAAACTCAGTAAACAACTCATATTTTATTTGCATTTTTTCGTATTTGTATTGATATCTAAGTTTCGAACTTTTCAAATTTCAGTTTTTTAATATGTTAGTTAAAAGGAACGTTAATTACTGTTTTTGGTCCATTCGTTTCCTGCAAAAATCAACTTTTGCTAGAGTCGCCATCTAGTGAATGTGCTTTTGTAGTGCTTTCGGTTTCTTTTTAATACCTCCTCATTGAAATAAAATCACATAAACACTTCATTTAATTTAAGAAGATTGTATAGGTTACCTAAATAAATAAAACTCGGTTTACTTAAGTACTTATTTATTTTAACATCAAAGATTTCACTTACCGGACATATTCAATCAAAATGTACCTACCAAATTTTGATACAATATAAGAGAATTGTACTGTTATATTGCTGCTAGTTTAAGGCTTAAATTTAAAGATAGATAATAAAATTCTTTTAAATTATACAATCATTTAGACATAACCACACTATTTTGGCACTATTACAATAAAAGAAACAACCATCAAATATTTATTTATTACAATGAAAACTTTAGTCTAAACTGAACTTCATTATTGACTTACTGACGATTTCGGCGACCTGCAATGAAAATATAGAAATTAAATAACACAGGTCACACTCGGACCACATTGACATCTTAGCGTGTGGATGAAATAAATTCAGTCCATTCCAGGGGTAGGGGGACACTTTCTTACAAGTGACAGTTGACAATTTACTAGCGCTGCCGTTGCCACAGCGAATTACCCTGTAAACTGGACGTTAATAGTGACTTAGCCAAGCAATCAAACAAGGGTTTGCAGTTGCTTAGCAATACAATTGTTGACTTCAATGAAAATATATAATTTCGATAATATAAGCCTTATCGAAAGACAATTATGATTGTGATACTTGGTGCGTAATGTTGAAGTCTTGTTCGTTCGAAGAAGAAACGAGGAGGGATAGAAGAACAGAAAGAATAATAAATTATTATGTTATACCGATTTATAAAGTTATATCGATAAAGAGTGATATGACCTACATCGCATTGGCACTGTCATGCCATCTTACGGAAAACTCGTAAAACCTACATATATCTGTCAACGTTCCCTCACAGTACGACAAAAAATTGGAGAGCGGGCTTTCTTTTCCCAAATATATACTTTACTCATTGGTTTATTCTAAAAAACTTGAACCTCGGATAGCATATCTATGAGTGGGACGCATATAATGGTCGCACATGACAAAAAAATGTCACAAAAAGCGGAATATTATAAATGCAACAGTAACTAAGTAAGCCTGTTATACTTTCACGTCTGAACCTCTGAACCGAGTTGATCTTGAGATAGGACATATTAATCTTTTATTGTAAATAAATAAACAACTTTTAGTTTGTATAAAAGTTCGTCGTTGTCGAACATAAAACTTTGTATTTGTACACTTTATAAGAAATAAATAAATATTTTTTAAGGGTTTTTGTAATT